GGGGGTCTGATGAGCTAGTGGGAGTTTAAAATAACAAAAACTGTTTTTTGAGTCCATTGGTTCTTTTTGTTTGTAGAACTTATACACAACACAAGGTTTCTTCTTTGAATGCAGGTGACTCTCTGAACACCCAGAATGAGCCAGAAGAGACTATGAAAAAGGAGAAAAAGTCAGAAGCCCTGAATATCAGAGGTAGGATTACTTTTGGGTCAAAGGAGTGTGCAGTGCTGTGCCCTTCTTTCCTGTTTGCCTTTTAAGAAGGTGTGTTAGAAAGTAGGCCAGTTGCATGAATAGACTATGACCCTCATCTCTTGCCTAATCACTGCATTGATTCTGAGGGACACACTGGTCGCTAATGATTTATCTTTGCCCCACTTAGAGCCATGCTAATGCCACCTGCTCCAGAGCCTCGCAGATCAGCGGCATGCTATTACTTTGCTTGATTTTGCCCACCCCCGGCTATTGTTAATGTCAAATGCGACCTATTTCAGTTGAATATATTTTGAGAAAGGTGAGAGGAGTGGGTGGCTTGCATCCAAGGTGGCATTGCCGAGTGACCCTCGGACCTCATTTATTTCTGCCAGAAATCTGTGTCTGGGACGGGTTTGTTGGCTCAGTTGAATCCCTACTTCCAGGCCCAAAGTGGAGGTTCTGGTGAGGCACGTGGAAGGCACGTTGCTAGTCTTCCCTCTACCATGTGCTCAAGGTCACAGGTACTGCTGGGCAAAGGTTAGTCAGGGAGTTCAAGGGTGCATTTCTCACCCAGACACCAACACTGTATCCAGCATTTCTCTCTTTCACCTTCTTGGGCAGAGAATTGGCTCCAGAGTGATTCGAGAAGCCCCGATCTTGACTTTGAGTATTTCCACAAAGATTATGCAACCCTTTACTTTCAGATGATTTGGGGAAGCCTGTGATGGGACTTAGTTGGAAATAATATACAGAAAAAGTAATCATCCAGGAGACACTTTCAGTATGTATGTATATATACACATATATATAATATCCATCAAATATATGCTATATATTATATATCATAGGTTTTTCATAGCACGTTAACTTTTCAAAGCGCATTGTGTTAATTATTCATGCTTATGTTGCAGAGAAAGAGAACAGGTAGGTGGAAAGATGCCGAAGAATTACGAGCAGGACTGATAGATATCGTGACCTTGTTTGGGAAGCATAATGTATGGGAAACTTGTATAATGTGGCTGATCTTCGGTCTAGAGCTGTTGGAGATCCTGGGTGCAAAGATGTCAGAGGTGACGTGCCTTGCTGTACATGGCTGAGCCCTGTGGTCCACAAGGACTGTGAGCCTCTAGCCTCTGACAGGGGTGAATGATGCAGTGGCTGAAGGATTGGGATTTGGGCTTAAGATGCCTCAGTTTGGGGTCTTGACTCCTATATTAGGCAAGTGTTTGGACTTCTCGAAGCCTCCAATTCCCTCATCTTTAAAATGAGGATAGTAACATCTACTTCATGAGGCTGTTGTGAAGTGCTTGGGCGACGATGCGGGAGGAACAGCAGCCGCCATGTTTGTGGAGTGCCTGCTTTGTGCCAGGCCCCGTTCTTGAAGGAGTCACTTGGCACTTGTAAGAATCCCACCAGGTGGGAGCTGTTGTCGTTCAGGCAGTGGGTGGAGTTGCCAGGCTCACCCCTGCACCTCTTGGGTGAGGGTGAGTGCCCGTCAGTGCCCGTGCTGTGGCTGGCGGGAGACTTTCCATCCTTCAGGCCATAAGGAAGGCTGGCCTCCCCTCAGGCCTGTGTCTGAACCGTCTGGAGCCATGACTCGGAGAAGGCAGACAGAATGTGAAAGCTAGAAAGGCCTCAGTAGGAGTGGACTCTACCCGTGCACTTTATAGATAAGGAAACAGGATCCAGAGAGTCTGGTGACTTCCCAAGTCACCCAGGCTCAAAGCGGAGGCAAACCTGGCTTCCTGGGCTCCTACTTCACATTTCTGCCCCTTCCAAGTGCCCCACACTGCCTGTACACCCCCACGCCCAGTGGCTTGCTTCACCACCGTAGATGGTCCACTGAGTGGTTACATCTTTCACATTTATTTATTTAAAAAGATTTTTTAATGCTTATTTATTTTTGAGAGAGAAAAGAGAGACAGAACACGAATAGGGAAGGGGCAGAGAGCGAGGGAGACACAGAACCCGAAGCAGGCTCCAGGCTCTGAGCTGTCAGCAGAGCCTGACGCAGGGCTCGAACTCACAAACTGCAAGATCATGACCTGGGCTGAAGTTGGACACTTAACCCACTGAGCCGTGCAGGCACCCCACATTTTTGACATTTAAACCACTTCTTTAGAAACCCCTCCCACCCCAGATCTGCAGGGGAACACCAACTGATGAGGATTCTTGTGAACAAAAATCATTTCTAGATTTTCATGACTGTTTCTCTTATTTAAATGGAGTAAAAACAAATGCCTTCTGAGAATCATGCTCCAGCTTCCGCAAAGCAGTGAAAGCACGATCCTTTAAAAATTCTCATCAGTCGTAGTGGTTGATTTTATTTAATGGGATCAAACGTGATACGTTAAAAACTGTTGTAACAGAGTGTCAGGAAGATTATTAGCTTTTGTATTTCATTGTAAATATGAATTGATGAACAGCAATCCTAACATCATTTGAAAATAAGTCTCCTTTGATGAGATGTTTCTTTCTAATTGTTTTTTTCCAGTAAGAAAGACCTCAGGGGTAGAGGAGGGGGCTCCTGGGTGGCTGTTGGTTAAGCATCCGACCATGGATTATGGGAAAGACAAGTTTGAAAGCTATTTTGTATAATTTTTAGGAGCCGATAGTGAAATTTCTTAGAAGGAAAACCCGGAATTGAAATGCAAGAGTTCTATGAGACAGGATGCATACTGGTTCTCTCGTCAGACTACCCAGACTTCTATCCCCACTCTAACACTTTCTAGTTGTGTGATTTTGGCTAAGTTATGTAGCTACTCCATGCCTCAGTTTCCTCATTTGTAAAGTGGAGAGAATAACCACTTAAGAGGGTCCTTAAATGGACTTAATATGTAAAGATGTGTAATATACTTACAATAGCATCTGATGCATACATGTTAGCCAGCATTACAATTATTATTAAGTAAAAGACAGAAGTTACTCTATGTCATGGGAGTTATGACTGACCAACCAGAAAATAGTGTTTTCTTGAGTGCGTACATGGTATGCCTCTAGGGCTCGAACCCACGAACCACGAGAACTTGACTTGAGCTGAAGTCAGATGCGCAACTGACTGAGTCATCCAGGTGCCCCTTTTTTATTTTTTACTTTAATTTTTATTTATTTTTTATTTTTTTAGATGCCCCTTTTTAAAAAAATTTTTTTTTATTTTGAGAGAGACAGAGACAGCACGCGTCGGGAAGGGGCAGAAAGAGAGGGAGGGAGAGAATCCCAAGCAGGAACCATGCTGTCAGCACAGAGCCCAATGCAGGGCTTGAACCCATGAAGCTAAGAGATCATGACCTGAGGTGAATCCAAGAGTCTGGTGCTTAACCGACTGAGCCACCCAGGTGCCCTTGCTGGAGGGTCTTCCTAAGGATCTCCTGAACCAGATCCAGTTTGAAGGACCCTGGCTAAGTGAGCAGTAGGCAAAGTCATGTAGGGAAGGGAGAAAATGGATGAAGGGAGAGGCAAGACCAGGAATAAAAGGAACCATTTTCGTGATATATCTTTGTTCCCTTTCCTCTTAAAAATGTTTAAAACAATTTAAATCACAGATACTTGTCTGAAAGAACAAGAAACCATTTGCACAGCCTCTGTTTGCCAGCTCGGTGCCTTCTGATGGGTGACAGATGGCCATGATGTAGCACTATGAACAAGCACAGTCCCTCTCGCCCTCTCCCCAGATGTGCGTGCGCCTCGGAATCTTCCTAGGCTGTTCCAGGTTCTCTGGGTCCTGGGATGGTGGCCTAGGGTTTTGTTTCCTGTGAAGTAGTTGCCCTTCCTTTCTTTTTTTTTCCATTCAAACCCATCCTGCTGTTCTAACCAAAAAGAAAGCAAATAGCACCTGGTATTCATAGATTTGGGAACCCAGATCCCTGAGTGTCACATGGCCCCCAAATTTGGATCTGTGCTTCATTGGTCTTCCTTTCTTCCTGACAGGTGTCCTTTTGCATGTGATGGGCGACGCCCTGGGGTCAGTGGTTGTGGTGGTCACGGCCATCATATTCTACGTGCGTCCCCTGAAAGGCGAGGACCCATGTAACTGGCAGTGCTACATAGACCCCAGCCTGACCGTCATCATGGTCGCCATCATTTTGTCATCTGCCTTCCCACTCATCAAGGAGACTGCTGCCATTCTGCTGCAGATGGTCCCCAAAGGAGTCAACATGGAGGAGCTGAGTAAGTCAGATGATTCTTATCTAGAACCATGCCCATTTGATGTTCTTCAGGCCAAAGGGCCAGCATTATTTCAGAGCAGTGTTTGATTTATGTATCCTGAAATACTTCAAATCACCAAGCAATAGAGACATCCATCATATGTTTTGTAGCCTAGTAAGATGACTCACAGCTCCAAGAACCAAAGGTCCTTTACGACTCATGGCGCTCTGACTCAGCTGCAAGTTTTTGAGAATATGGTGCTTGGGCAGTAACTATTCCTCAGCTTTTACCTTCATGTCAAAGATTTAATGCAAAGAAGGCTACCCTGCCAAGAACTTGATTTTTACTCTCCTTATTCTGAAAACATAAATCATTCCTTTATATTCTAGATCTTGCATTCTATTTAATTGATTTTTATGGGCATGCAAGTCACCGGGTCTCTTGTAACGCTGTAAAAAGGACCGTATTTCATGTTTTAACCTGAATTCATGACCTCGTTCAGTAATGAAATCTGTTTCTTTGCTTTGCTCAAACAGAAGGTCAAACTCTCCTCTTAGTTATGTGTATCTGAGGATACGTATTTTAAAGACTTGGCAGAATTTCTAAATGGGAACTATCCAGATGTTGGTGAGAAACTGAATTTGCAACTTCATCTCTAGTGTTTCTAAACGGGATTATGTTTTTATAAAAAAACATTTTTCGTGCATATTTGTGTTATACACTCACTGCCCCACCAGTGAGCCCGTAAACTTGAGATAGAGCCCAGGCCTCTTAGAAGACCTTATTTCATGAGAAGCTCCTGAAATGAGGTTTGAATGGGTCTTAATACATTTTATGGCCATGGCTAGGCTTTCCTCTATGAAAGAAGGTGTGATTTGCAGTGTGACTGTCTGATGAGGGCCATAGCCCTGCCAAACCCACGTTTAATAGCGTGTGTTGGGACCAGTTGGTTGCGCCATTGCTAATAGCTGGAGCTTCTCCTGCAGTCTTTTCTCCTGGATGTTCTTTCTGCCTTTGGGGGCCTCTTTGGCACCATTGTTGGTTTATAGTCTCAGAGTTGGTAGGTGCGGTCAACTCTCTGGCTGCTTTACTGCAGAATTAAAATAGTCAGGCTTCATTTCCTGCAACCTACTATTTGCCCGATGCCGCAGGCAGAGGAAGTAGGAGATGGGGAAGGAGATACCCAGACACAGATACACAGCATCGTCTCTACTTTCTAGAAGCTTGTTTTCCAGTTGAAGAAAAAGATACACATATCAAAACCAATTTGTGATATATAGTGATATATAATGATATATATATATATATATATTTTTTTTTTTTTAAACACATTTTTAAAAATTAGATAGCAATGGGATGCCTGGGTGGCTCAGCTGGGCCGAGCTGGCCTCATATTTCAGCTCAGGTCATGATTCTAATAGTCAGAGTTCCGGACCCCGCATTGGGCCTCTCTGGCTTGGTCGGACAGGACATGCTCGGGTCTCTGTCTCTTCCTTCTTGGCACTTCCCCTGCTCATGCCTCTCTCTCAAAAAAATAAATAACATATTTAAAAAAAAATTAAAAAATATAGTAATAACAATAACACACTTGTAAGGCACTTATTACATGCTAGGTAATGTTCTAAGTGCTTTCTATTCACTATTTATAATTTTTCTCATCAAGCTTATTTATTTTTGAGACAGAGAGAGAGACAGAGCATGAATAAAGGGTCAGTGAGCTTAGGAGACACAGAATCTGAAGTGGCAGGTTCCGCTCTGAGCTGTCACAACACAGAGTCTCGACGCGAGGGCTCGAACTCACGACTGTGAGATCATGACCTGAGTCGGGTCGGCAGCACTTAACCGGGTTGGGAGCCACCAGGCTATGCTTCCTCCCATTTGAATTTTTTTAAAGTAAACCTATGTTTGCTGTTCTATCATTATTATTCCTAATTTATAGATAAGGACACTGAGGCACTGTTAGGTAACTACTCCATGGTCATGATCATTACACTGGGATTCAAACCCTAGCTGGCTACAGGGTCTTTGCTCATAATCCGTCTTCAAAACCATTTCTCTAGGGCGCCTGGGTGGCGCAGTCGGTTAAGCGTCCGACTTCAGCCAGGTCACATCTCGTCCCAGTGAGTTCTGAGCCCCGCTGGGTCAGGGCTCTGGGCTAATGGCTCGGAGCCTGGAGCCTGTTTCTGATTCTGTGTGTCTCCCTCTCTCTCTGCCCTCCCCCTGCTCATGCTCTGCCTCTCTGTCCTGTAACAATAAACGCTTGAAAAAAAAATTTAAAAAAAAAAAAACCATTTCTCTATATACGTGCTCATTTGAGAAAGTATGGAAAACATGGAAGAGCCTAAGTATGAAACTAGAAATCTCTCATAATCCTGCTACCCAGAAATTACCACTTTTAATATCTTGTATCAATCATTCAATAAAACAAGCCTTTATCTGCATAAGATTTTTGTGTGTGTGGGGTCACCTGGGTGGCTCAGTTAAGCGTTCGATTCTTGATTTCAGCTTGGGTCTTGATCTCTGGGTCATTAGTTCAAGCCCCGCACTGGGTTCTGTGCTAGGTGTGAAGCTTACTTCCTGTTTAAAAAAATTTTGGTTTTGTGTGTGTGTGTGTGTGTGTGTACACACTGATGTTTGTGAAAGAAAGAAAGAAAGCAAGAAAGCAAGAAAGAAAGAAAGAAAGAAGAAATATGCCATATGCACAGTAAAACTATTTGTTTTTTTTCACTTACAGATAGCTTATATGCCTTTTCTCATATCCTTAAATATGCACCTTACTTGTTAATGGCTGTACCATATTTTATATAATCGATTTAACTCTTCCCTTGTTTCCGTTTCTTCATTAATGCAAAGAGCATCGCTCAACTCATTTTTGTGCGTGAACATTTGGGTATTTCCCTTTAGGTTAAATTCCTGGCACCAGGGATGCTGGAGAAGTTTTTGGTCCCTATTGCCAAGTTCTCCCCTTTCAGAAAGGCATCCTGCTTCACGCTCCCAACACAGCCCATGTGGGTGTCTATTCCCTGGTAAACTCAACAACCTTGGGGATTTGGGGGGTTGTTGTTAAACTTACTTTCTTTCTTTCTTTTTTTTTTTTAATATATGAAATTTATTGTCAAATTGGTTTCCATACAACACCCAGTGCTCAAACTTACTTTCTTGAATTACCTCTTATGGGCTGATGAGGGATGGTACAGGGATTCTGAATGGAGAAAGAAGATTACTAGAAAACGTACCCGTCCAGGTCCAGCTATTTTTCTTTGTGTTTTTGAAATATATCGGAGTGCTGAGAATGCTTCCAGGGCCCACGTCCCTCCTGTGGTGGGTGCCATGCATGTTTCCACTACAGTACGCGCCTTAGTGTTTGTCTGCTCTCCTCTGTTCTAGTGAGTAAACTCTCGGCCGTGCCCGGGGTTAGCAGTGTACATGAAGTGCACATCTGGGAGCTTATAAGTGGAAAGATCATCGCCACCCTGCACATCAAGTATCGGAAGGACAGGGGCTATCAGGACGCCAGTATGAAAATTCGAGAAATCTTCCACAATGCGGGAATCCACAATGTGACCATCCAGTTTGAGCACGTGGACTTGAAGGAGACCATGGAGCAGAAGGATCTGCTGTTGCTCTGTAGTTCACCCTGCATCTCCAAGGGCTGTGAGAAACAGCTGTGCTGCCCGCCCGGGGCCCTGCCTCTAGCCCACGTCAATGGCTGCGCAGAGCACAATGGCTGTCCCCCTCTGGACACGTACCCAAGTGATGGTCTCCGTGGACAAGTAACAAGAGAAGTGGCTATTGAAGTATCTTTGGACAGCTGTCTGAGTGACCATGGACAAGCTCTGAGCAAAACTCAGGAGGACCAACATTATGTCAACAGCACACATTTTTAATCTTGTCCTGACGTACACAGACAGTATAGACGAGGTGTTCGGGCTTGTGGAAGGACCTCTGTGGGCTGTAGGCACTGGTCAGATTCATGGTGTGCACGCTCTGTGTTCATCAACGGGCTGGTTGTTTGGGATGTTAATTGCACGTGTCTGTTAATTTTTATGTGACCGTGAACTCCTTTACATCGTCCTGGGTATCTCATGCTGCTCTTCAACAAACTCACTGTTTTAGTTTGAACATTTATTTCAAAAAGCAAACCATGCCAGCATACGTATCAGGGACATTGAAGGCTGGGACTCAATGGCTGTGGACACAGGATTCAAAGTAGTTTTTGTTTTAAAGTGATTAGATTTTGTGGCTGACTCTCAGGTGAGCTCATAGCCAAGTACATCGAAAAAACTAAAGAACCATGTTAGCTAATGTTTTTTTCATTCCATCATAAGATCATAAAAGAGGAAGGTTGGGTAGTCTTGTCACTGCAGAATTTTTGTTCTTTGACTTGTTTTCAAATAAATGCAAAATGAATACCTATTAAAGTAGAAAATAGTCTCAGAACATCAAAGGAAGGAGAGGTTATTGGGGGAAGACAGGAAGAAAATGCCTCTTGACTACCTCTTCATTTTGCAGGGTGGAGAGAAAACTAGTGTTTACTTTCTGCTGTGAACTGAACTACAACTATAGGGTGCTTCAAATGTTTAATACACAAATGCTTTTTTTTTTTTTTTCATTTGGAAGTGTGGGAATATTTCTACTTCCTGAAGTATGACACAATACTTACATTCTGTCTTGTAGAATCAGTCCAGTTGGGATTGTTTTCATTTATTGCTTAATGACTTATTTGTCCAAATTTCCTTTGAGTCTTCTTTTATATGATCATGTGGATATATGTAGCATTTATCAGGAGAAAATGGATATTTCTGGGAGAGAATAATATATGACACTGAGTATTCCTTCCTGCCAAAAATAAGCTGGATTGACTTTTCTTCCATTAGACATATTTTAAAGTATTTAGTAGAGTTGCCAACTAGTAACTTCATGGAAAAGTCTATGTGTAGAGAGACCCCGATGGGTTGCAAAATTGACAACGATCATCTCTTAAGCTCTAGACACAGAGTCCTGTTGTAAATCTGTGCGGTACTCAAACAGAAATCCTGGGTTGGTAACGCAAAAAGCACCCACATTTTTCAGGATTAATGCCGTTTAAACAAATGTCTTAGTGTTCGTTCTTAGGCTGAAATAAGTAAGCATCTGTGATCAGTAGGATAAGAATTTTTTTTCATTCCTTGAAAATTTATTATCTGAGTTTAAATTGGCCATGAATTAGTCGAATACGTTTTTGTCCCTAGGAGTTTGTTGGACTAGTCTATAGATAGTGTATAGCCAAAAGAGGGGTAAAATATAAGACAACATTTTTATCTTTAATCTTAAAAGTATGGCATGCACTCACAAAAAAACCAGGGGATTCTCTTTGAAACTCACCACGGTGATAAGTGGACCAAAATCTAGACAGATGTTGGTTGAGATGCCTTGACTGGAGCCAAAGAGGAAGTCTGTCCCTCACTTCCAATTGGTTCCCATCATTCTGCTTTTTATTAGAAGGAAAAGATTATAATTTTCTAGTTTCTGTGCCCCTGGCTAAAGAAATGCAGACTAGTTTACATCCAGATAATGTTCTCTACTCTCTAAAGTATTTTTTAGGAAAGGAAAAGGCACTAAATTTAAATGTAACAAATTTACCACAGAGGTAGCTTGACGACCACTTAATCACATACCGCATTATGGAGTAGAGTCATTGTGAAATAATCCCTTTTAAGACAGCTAGAGTACATTTAATGAGTTCAAACAAGCTCATTCAGTGCAATATTTTTGTATGGGGTTAAGTGGTTTCCTCTGTCATCTCAGGCAGTTATCGTGACATCCTCTGTCATCGTGATGCCTGCAGTACGATATTTTTACTTGAGTTTTACTCTCTCTTTAGTTGTCCTGCATTTCAAGTCTCCCAAGGAAATGCAGGAACTTTCTTCTCGTTCAGTCAGTCTTGCCTGGTGGCTCTAGGGCCTGCTGAACAGTGGCTTTACCCAACACTGTTTTCCTCTGGGATTAGAAAAATGCTGTCATTTCACTTTCTAGTGTTCCTGTGTGCTTAGGTTCATTCCAGAAATCTTTCCTTCTTTTTTTTTTTTTTTTGAAATGAAAATAATTTTTTGAAAGTCTAGAGTGTCCTCTGTGGGTCTCCAGGCATTGCTACAGCCCCTGGGGGCAAATTTGTCTCTATTTCTGAGTTACTGACTTAAACTAAGGGTAGGTGAGAGTTATTGCTGACAAAAGTCCTTCGAGAGCCCTGTATTCATTTTAATAGTATCAGTTCTGCAGAATTCATTCTTTAAAAAATGAATTTTAGGCTGGGTGTCTCAGTTGGTTAAGCGTCCAACTCTTGATTTCAGCTCAGGTCATGATCTCATGGTTCTTGAGTTCGAGCCCTGCATTGGGCTCTGTGCTGACAGTGTGGGGCCTGCTTAGGATTCTCTCTCCCTCTCTCTCTCCCTGCCCCTCCCCTGTTCATGCTATCTCTCTTTCTCAAAATAAATAAACTTAAAAAAATATTTTTAAAGGTGAGATCAAACTGCTCATCAAAATTACAGTTATCTCTACATAGGAATTTTGAACATTTAAAAAGATATAGTTTGGGGGAAAAAAGGCCTTACAAATCTGATTATACAGATCAGTCAATAGAACAGTGAAGGAAATGAAGAAAAAAGCATTTGCTGTCACTATTCTGTCATGACCTCTTCAACTCATGAATGTCTTCAGTTTGATGATGGAACTACAAAAGGAGACCAGAAAATACTGGTATGATTGATTCTTGGGGCTAAGGTGTTTAATTAATTCTCTATCAGTTTTAAACTTGATGATATGTCTTTTATTGGTTCTAGGACAAGCAGTTCATCTTGGTGCTAAGGACAAGTTCAGATGTTAAAAAAAAAAGATCTGTATTATTTGTGGTTAACTGAATCCTTTGCCAAATCCTACCGCATTTTTTCCCAGGAGGACAAAATATATTTCCTGCTTTTAAATGTATCTTTACACCGTTACAGTTAAAGACTACAAAAAAAGACCGTGCCAGAAAAATAATGAGGAAACATGACCTGATTTGGGTTTTGAATTTAGACTGAATAATGATTATGCCTGTTTTATAACTCTGCTGTTCACCTGATCGTTTGTTACTTATTTGTGCTTCTGAGTGTATTTGCACGTGAGTCGTCGCAGGTAGGAATGAAGTTATTGAATCGGGAAACCGTGGCGCAAATGGAAATTGCATCAGACCCTAATCCTCACCGTAATCTAAATGTTCTTATGAATTTGGAGATTAGCTAATGCATTATGTGTCATGTTCAGGAGCGTCTCTTCTCAGGTGTTTTATTCTGGACCTTTTTGTTTACATGGAACGTTTTTGAATATCGCTGAATGGATCGATATTGCTGGATGTCTCCTCCTGGTACAAAGCCAGGTCAGAGGCGATGAACCCGCTGTCTAGCGGGGATAATCCAGGAAGGATGATGGTTTTCGAGGGAGAGTGACCCTTCTAGGAGGTCCGAAGTTATGTTACAGTATTATGGAGTTTTGTTGCTTGAAGTCTTCCTTCTGTCCTCACAGGCGATTTTGCCAAAGTGTAATTGTCACATTTGTGGGAACTATTCAGACTTGAAGATGTCAAGTTTAAATAGCGCATTACTAATTGCATGTGAACTCCCCCAGTAATGTATGCACATACACATACCTGTAAAAGCGAAAGATGTTCAATGGTGCTGTAAATAAATAAACAACAACAACACATGACTGAGATGTTTGTGGAAATCAGATGGAAAGCTCAGAGTGGTTGAACTCATTTGTTTTTGTCCCTGAGTCTAGTTGGTTTATCACTCAGTAACACTTCAGATGGGTTTTAGTAAAGTGGGACTACTTCTGCATCCTTATTTTGTGGTTTCTTCATACCCCTCTGCCACTGTCCACCACCTGCAATGTCACCTGGCCCATGTTGGCAAAAATGACCCAGACTGACCCAGCTACCTACTTACTGCAGCCTGGACTGATCTGGTTTTCTAGCGGGGCTTTTTGGGGACGGGGCTACCCAATAGGGCTTGTGCAGGAGGGGAGCTCCTGGGGGTTAGGGAATGGTGGAGAGGCTGGGCTTGTTTTGGAAAAGTCCTATAGATGTGGGGAACTCTCCAAAGAGCTGACTGTCACCTTTATGAATATTGAGTGAGGGGAACAGTCTTCCAGTTCTTCCAGTTGCTTTTTATTTAATCTGATAAGCTGATAACCAGCATACCCTTACTGGAAACTGTGCGAGGGGTTCTTGCCTCCAGGGGGTTTGTCATCTACACTGGAAGCTAAGTAAGGCAGTACAACTTTAGGGGAGGTTATGGAGACCTACCTACAGCCTGGTGTGGGTGGGGGGTGATCTTGTGATGAATGGTTCTGGTGCTCAGGGGTGCACATGCCAAGCCCTGGGCAGCATTTGAAATGAGACGGAGATATACATTTCGTGACCATCAACTCTGTCAGCACGAAGAGGAACAGAGGGCTGAGCTCAGGGCTCAGAGTACAGAATGTCTGACTACTCCATCTAGTGGGGAACCCTGCCTCCTCAGTGTCTCCCGCTGCTCCCTGTTTCTCTGTAGCACTGTCACTTTGTAACATTCTATTATACATTTACTTCTTTATTTCCTGTCTGTCCGACTAGAATAAGGCTTTGTATGATCCACAGCTGTGTTCCTCAGCCCCTACCCCTTGCTTGAAACAGTGCCACAGGGCCTGGCACCAATAAATATTTATTGAATGAATGAATAAATGAACACACACATGAATGAACGAAGAGGTTCAACTCTTGGTGTTACCAGTTACAGGATTTGGACAGATCATTTAACTCCATTGCACTTGGTTGTTTTTTGTTTAAATGATGGTCTGTGTTCCCCTTCTTGGGGGTTTGTTGTAGGAATCC